TTGACACTCATCACGCTGAGTGGACTTGCATCCTTGTGTTGTCATGCTGGGCTGGGCCTGTGTTTCATTTGTAACTCAGTTGCTATGTCAGGGGGCTGCCTCAGGGCCTCCAATGATTGCATGGGTTGCAGGTGCCTAATGCTGCCACTATACTAGAAATCCATCTAAGCAAGAGCCTGGTCTCTTTTAGTGTGTCTTGTATGTCTGATCTCTTTGTTCAGGCTTTTTGGAGATGTTTGAAATCACCCTGGCAATTTTCTGCTGGCTGATGCTGATTGCTTGTCTCCGATCCTTTCAAGCTAGTTAGTTTTGCGTGTGGGAGGCCCTCAACTGGTGAAAATGTTATTTTCTCTTGATCTCAACAGTTGTCTAGTACCTTGATGACATTTCCTATAAAACCAAATTTTTCCAAAACCTTTTTTTCCCCCTGAATTTCCATTTTGTGGGAAATTTTGTTTTTGGTCTAATTCGGAATGTCAAAATTTTCTGCGAGACAGTAATGCTGAGTGTTGACCAGCTCTGCTTACAAATTAAAGAAGACAAAACAGACAGATGGAGGGTTTGAGGAAATGGAACAAACAATAGCTAAGATGGCCAAGTGGTGATGGTACAATGAGTCACATCTAGATAGTATAAAATCTTGACACAATGTTTCGTTTTTTAAACGATATGTATATAGAGATGGCCCCAAATTGCCCAACAGCCATGCTGTGATATTAATTATAAGCCTCATTGTAGCGCGGGGTCTTCAGGAAGTTGAGACAAATTTGTAACCCTTGCAAAACAATTAATGTGGGCCCCTATCAGCACAACCCAGCACAACAGTGTATAACCTCCTCCAGCCAGCTCGGTCATGCCATGCAGGGGAAGGTTTTGCATCTGTAGCATTGGGGGCAAGTAGTATTTAATTATTTATTTTTGCAAAATAGATGAAAATCAACTGTGATGGAAAGGGCACCCCAAGTCCTCTGCACCACTTACTTCCTGCACAGGTAACTGTTGGTGTAGCAGTAGTGGAGCCCTTTACACAAATCCAGTGGCCCCAATACCCTATACAGTTGACACATAGGGGTGGTGACTGCTCTTCCACCCTTTCCCCTACTCCTGTTTCAAATGGCAGTAGGTCAAAGTGCACCAAGGAACTTCTGGTGTGTGGTAGCAGGGTCCACACAGCCAGTTAGTGTGTGAAGGCTAGTACGCTAAAGATATACTCCCCAGTTTGCCATGCACTAACTTGCCATCTAGACAAGCCCTTGGTGTCCTTTAGTCCTTAGCTTTGTCTGCTGGGATATTCTTCGAAGTGCAGACACACTCTCTGAAGTCCTTCTGTTGCTTTGGGGCTCCCGACTGGAATGTGCTTTATAACATTGGAGGCATGGAGATCCCACATCCACATCATCCAGTCATTTTATGCATTTGTAATGTGCCCATCACAGTGTCAGCCAGACCCCAGTCCTGCAGGAGCTCATGTGGTTGGACCTTTGTGTTACATGGAGCCCCTTTCAGTTCAGTGAGGCTCTGCACAGGTACGGGTTTGCTCCCACGGAGTTCCTTAAAAACTGGGGCCTAGGTGCCACATGGATCCTTCATCAGGTATATGGGTGTGCTATTCTGTTGCAATGAGAGCTGGGTGGTGTATAGGACTAGGACAAAGATAACTTCATGTTTTAATTTTCCATTGCCTTGAGTGAGGCAAAGACAAAACGACTGCTGATTCAGACCCTTCTGAGGTCTCCCCCACCTCTGTGTCCCAGAGAACCAATGAAAGCATAAAATGGAGCAGCCAGAGCCTTCTTTAGTGACACACTCAAGAGTCTAAAAAGGATCCTTAAAAATACATGCACTCATTTTGAGAAAAGAATAGCATCTTTGAAGACAACAGAAGACTACACAAATCCCCAAAGTTGTTTCCAACCCACACAGTTCCTTCAGGGAAGTCTTTGAGCACAGAATCTAGCCATCAGTTTCATTTCTGCCTCCTTCTCCTCCTGGCTTCAAGGAGAACTGATGGGAAGTTCACAGGTTCTTGTTTCTGTGAAAGCATCCTTCCTCCTCTCTGGAGCTGTGAATCAGTGGAGAATGTGCTCTCACACTCACACAGCCCAGCTACAATCAGAACTTGTTTGTTGCTATGGTAGCTTTATTTAGCTTTTTAAGGCTATTTTGGAAAGACAAATGCTGTAATTGCTAAATCTGTTCTAATTCAGGCATCACAGTGTGGCTGTGCTCCAAACCTTCTTGGGACATGAAGGGGTTAACACGCTATACTGGGACCAGAGAAGACAAAAATCCCTGTCCTGCAAAAACTGCCCAAACTGCCAAGCCTGGAAGGGCCCAGCTGAGGCTGATTATGAACAGGAAATAAAAGGAGAAGCTGGGTTAAGCCAAGTGGCTTTTCAGGATGAAGGAACTGAGCCACTTTTTAATCTGGAAACAGATGAAGCTATGGACTGCTAAGCTCTGGAGCAGGGGTGGCGAGGGAAGCCACTTAGTTCTTAGGTAACAAATAACTGAGCAAAGGGTTCAAGAACACCCCCAGGAATAAAATGGGTTTCCAGTTTTATTTGGGGAGTAAGGACTTGGGTTTATTTTTAGTCATTTACCTAATTCTCTCTGACAGCAAGAGACAAGCAGTGTTTGTGCTAGGAAACTAAAGACTGTTCAGCTGATCTTGATGTGATGTATGGGCTTAATGTGTGTGTATTTGTGCGAGATCCTCTAGTAGCTGGTCCGTCAAGAGGCTAAGGGTATATATACACAACAATTAAATACCCCCAGCTGGCCCGAGTGGGGCTGTAAAATTGTGGTGTAGACATTTGGCTCGGGCTGGACTTGAACTCTGGAGACTGCAAGGGGGAAGGTCCCAGAGCCCAGGCTCCAGCCGAAGCCTGAACATCTACACTACAACTGTATAGCCCCGCAGCCTGAGCCCTGTGAGCACAAGTCAGCTGACATGGACCAGCCGCGCCTGGTGTTTTATTGCGGTGTAAACATATCCTAAGGGACCTGCTACAGTTAACACCAAAGGGAGATCTACTTCGGCTCAGGCGATAGAAGTCTGATTTCTGGAGATGCAGTTTTGTTGCTCGGTTGTGTAGTTGATTGTCCACAGCACACAGGTAGTACCACACCTTAAGTAAGAGATCACCAATTTATTTATTTCTCTGGTAATGGAAATTTTTGGAGGTATGCTCCTGGATTGAAGAATTTGGTAGACAGGGCAATGTCTAGGTTGTAGGGGACGCCTATTTTAGTTGGAAGTGTTTCAACTAGTGAAGGCCCTTGGGATTATTTTTCGTCTGGTATGGTTGGTTGGTTGGTTGAAGGCAAGTGCATTCAATATGAGTTTAGTAGCAAGGTTTGTCATGGACGCGAGCTGGACATAGGGAACATTTCCGTGTGCTACTAATGCTTCTAGATGCGATTTTGATGGTTTCTTCTCCATGTTGGTTTGTTCTCACTTTTGTAACCGTGTAGGAGTCTTGTAGAGAGGGCTTAAATTTAGGGAAAAAATAAATTATAAATTACAACTCTTTCTGTGAGAGACAAGGTGGGTGAGGTAATATCGTTTATTGGACCAACTTCTGGTGGAAGGTACAAACTTTTGAGCTTTTTTTGTATTCATTTTTGTGATACCTTCTTCTGGGCAGGTTAAAAAGAGTTAAAGTGAGTCTCCATGGTGACTTTTCTGCAATATAGTCATTGTGTGCACATCCACACGCACCATGCTGTCTAACTGTTTGTATGTGGGCTGATATCCCATACTTCCTCAGAGGTCTACCCTTTATAGCTTTACTGTCGCTGAACGCAGTTGTGACTCATTGAGTTAACTAACATGATGCTGAGTACTGTTTAGCAGGCAACTAGGATAAACTGTGTTCAACATAGCATCAGCTAATTATGTTTAAACCCGGATCAGAGCAAGGTTTAATCACAATTAGCTGTCAGTATGTTGAATGTTGTGTCCGTGTTTACACTTTGCCCGCTAATTTGTGTTGAGCACTGTCAGTTAACATGGTTATTTACAACCATATTCAGTCATGGTAAAACTTCATAGTGTAGATCAAGTCCCTGAAGACTTGAACACAGTTGGTGAAACTGAGTTTAACAGGTCCACTGCATGGATGGGAAATGGAAGACCATCTCAGAACACAATGGCACTGTTTGTTCAGAGATGTATTCTTCTGACGAGATCTGGGGGCAACAGTTGGGGAATGGTCCTTCCTGAGAGTACTGAAGATGGCTTGTCTCTCTTATCCTGATATTTCTCTGCATTGTTAAAGCCAGGGAGGAGAGGATATTCAAGTTTCAAGCAAGAAATTGTAACTTTTTTGATGAGTTGCTTGCTTTACCTTTTGGGTGGACCTCAGGGGCAAAATACCTAAACAGAAAAAAGAACATAAAGGACTCTTTTTTTTCATATGACTTTATTGAGAAGCAGATGGACATAATAGCATATAAGCAGGATGGTTCACAAGCCATTAAAAAGGACATAAAAAACAAAAAAGCTGATCCAAAAAATCAAAGAGTGGAGTGCTGTTACTCCAGAGAGCAGATATGACACAAGGATTGCTCAAATAGCAGGTGTAATACTTCTACATTCTTTGGTCTCTTTTTCATGGGTTTATTAAAAAGAGTCTACACAGAAAGTGCTGGGGATGTTCTATCCCCATTGAGGACTACAGGGCTACAGTGAGGTTATGCTGTAGCTTCTATAAAAGTATGTGGATGAATGCTGCAATCAGGATATCTGAAGAGGCCTCCACATCATGTAGGCCTTTCCCCTACTATCCTTATGTCTTCCTGAACATAAATAATTTGGTTTTCTTCACCGTTAATAAATCAGCTGGCATCTGCAGCTTTTTGTAACATTCATATTGTATTGATTGCAAATGATAAGTGTGTAATACTGAATGCATGTTGAGAGTTTAACTGTGGGGTGGGTGCCTTTCTGACCTTGATATTGTAATAGCCAATGTAAGATACTGGAAGCTTAATTTAAAAAAAAAATGGCGCTGTGCTAGGTAAATACTGAATTTGGAAGGGATAATGTAAGGCACTCCCTCCTCCCCACCAGAGACTGAGTGCAATATAGTGGTTCCCAAGGTGTCAATTTATAAGAGTAAGACCTGGGCAGTGCTTGTGCCCTCCTCTCCTAATGCAGCAACTGCAACTCCTCTCCTCTGCTATAATGTTGGCCTGCCTCTCATTTAGTTAAACTAAGGCTGTTCCAAATCCCATATCATGTGAGACTGAGCAAAATTGAAATCTGGGACAATCTAAGTCTATCATTGGATTCTGCGGATGTAAAATGAGACAGACATTCGTTGCACCAAGTTCAGGTAGGAAAGGGTTCTGTGGTTGGGACTCCCTGCTGAGTGTCAGTCACAAAAGCCATAGCTCTAGCAGGCATGCCCTTGTCCCCTCCTGCCTCCAATAGCCCAGGAAAAAAGGAGGGCAGAGTTCAAGCACCAAGCTCTGATCTCCTCCTGCTAGATAGCTCACTGAGCAATGCCTGTCTCATTTAGTTCTGTAGTTAGTGGACTGGAAGGCTTTTGAGAGTTTAAAACTCTTGCTATTTTAAAGCAGCCATATATTATAGAAACAAAAGCAAATGGAATACAGTGAATGTCATAGGATAAATTACCTCTTGGGGTTCTAGTGAGTTCCTAAAAGCAGTGGATTATAAACAAGAATAGCACCCGAACCTCTGAGTGGAATTATTTTCTTCAATATCACTGTAGAATATAACTAGCTTTCTTAGCTACAAAGCTTGCACTATTTTGGTGACCTACCACTTTAAATGAACTCTTTCTGATCGCTTCTTTGCTTTATATGGGGAAAAATTATTTATTTTTTATGGTAAAATCAGCACAAGCAACAGTGAGATGGTCTCCATTATACAGCTTCACTGAAACTTTGTACTCTCCCTGTGTGAAACAAAAGCAAAACATTAGATTAGCACACAAATAGTACAGAACTGCCTCTCTTCATAGGAGAGAGTCCCCTTTTTCGTTAAAATAGTTATGCCCGTCCTGAAAGCTCTTCCAGTCCAAATATATTTCAATGGTGGTAAAAGGTGTGGCTCATTTTTCTTGCCAAATGTCTCTCTTCGTAGATGTCAAATGTTGGTAGCGCAGCAAATTCAAAATTAAAACATGGTGGTAAATGCTTCCACAGGGAAACAAAACTCTTTGATATTTAAAAATTCCTTTCAGGTCCATGTAGCTTTTCTTGCTCTTTCTGAAACAATTGCACCTGGGCTTTTGTTATTAAGGCTTTCTCTTTACTTTGCAGCTGCTGTGTAATCAGAGTGGGAGAAATGTTCTTTTGACTGGGATTCATCCCACGCTAATCTTATTGTTCAAATATTGCACTATTATAACTTCAGATGAATTTTCACAGATGTTAACATATTAATTGGGTATTTTAAAAAAAAGTATCATCTGTAGAAACACATGACACAGACAGAACTTGCTGTATTTTAGTTTCAACAAAAGAGGTAGTAACAATAACGCTTCCTTCTGGGGACAATTTCACATCAGCAGTCTGCCCAATGTAGAAGAGAAACTATGCACGGTCCAAATGTGTAGACCTGGGCTTAGGGGACATCCTAATTTCATAGGTCAAAATATCTCTCTCCTCCTACCAACCAGAGAAGTATTGGGAAAGTCAGGTGGCTAAGCTCACTTAAGAGATTGAGAGGAGGACTTAACACAAAAATTTGTTTTAATTCTGGATTATTGAGCCACATTTGGTCTTCTCTGCAGAATGAAGCGGTAATAGGTCCTTGACTGCTTAATGGGATTGTACACTTTAGTTTTGGTGGCCATGATTCTCTCCACCTGTAAGTTCTTAACCAATGGCTACTTTGATCTAGACCCCTCTGCCCCCTTCCACTGGCTTCATCAACTCTTTGGCAAATGCTCGGTGTCTTTGCCTGGCCGAGCACAGCGCTTAGTTGTGCCTGGGCAGGTAAACAGAGGCTAGGAGGCTTTCAGCGTTTCTGGCACTGTGAGACTGTCTGTTGAAATTCAAGCAGGAGATTGGTTCAGTATGGAGTATGCTACTTCCAAAGACATAATAGATGAGCAGGGAAGGGGAGGGGGTAAAATAGGCCAATGAGAGTAGAAGGGAGGGACTGATGGGAAGGAAAAGAGAGGAGAGAGAGGTTGTCTTCCACTCCAAACTCCTTTCACCTCCTCTCCATTTCTTCCTTTCTCCATTTCTTCCCCTTCCCCACTACCCTCGACTCTCATCTTAAGTCTTCAGCGAGTTTAAGATCCTTGCAGCAACTACTGGTATAGAAAGAATTGCTCCAGTGGTGCTAATGGGCCCTTGCAGAGGTGACCTTCCTCTTAGGAATCACCAGGAGGCGCTGCTTCCCTTGCTACCAATGCAAGAGTCAGGGCAGGGCAGGGCAGTGTACTAGAGAGACAAACTACAATCATGGGGGAAACTTACAGTGCTGAATGTCCCCAGCCTCCAGTTACTAGAAGAATGAATATGTTGCTGTACTAGGGACATTCTGGTAGGACCATGTGGTGGTTCTTAAGGACATAAGACTTGTCATACTGAGTCAGACCAGTGGTCCGTCTGTCACTGTATCCTGTTTCCAAGAGTGACCCGTACCAGAGCTTCAGGTGACGTGTACAGAACAGGGCAGTTGAGTCTTTCCTTCCTGGCTTCTGGCAGTCAGAGGTTTAGGGTTGCTCCAAACATGGGGTTGCATGCCTGATCATCTTGGCTAATAGCCATTGATGGACCTATCCTCCATGAATTGACCTAATTCTTTTTTGAACCCAGTTACATTTTTGGCCATCACAACATCTCATGACAATGACCTCAACCAGTTAATTGTGCATTGTATGAAAAAGTACTTCCTCTTGTTTGTATTAAAGCTGCTGATTGTTAATTTCATCTGATGATGCCACATTTGTGTATTGTGGGAAAGGGTAAATAACACTTCTCTATTCACTTTTTCCACACCATTCACAATTTAAGAGACCTCTACCATATCCCCCTTTAGTCGTTGCTCTTCTAAGATGAACAACCCTAATCTTTTTAGTCTTTCCACGTATGGAAGCCATTCCATATCCTTGATCATCTCTGTTGCCCTTCTCTGAACATTTTTCAGTTCCACTATATTCTTTTTGAGATTGGGTGACCAGAACTGGACACAGCATTGCAAGATGTGGCAGCACCTGAATTTATAGAGTGGCATTGTGATATTTTCTGTCTTATTTTCTATCCCTTTCCTAATGGTTGCTAACATTCTGTTAGCCTTTTTGACTGCTGCTATTCACGGAGCTGAAGTTTTCAGAGAGCTATCCACAGTGACTCCAAGATGTCTTTCTAAACGTTACTCTGATTTTCAGCCATGGTGGCATTCTTTTAGTCCTCTTATTGTCTTTTCTGGTTGGGGGTAAATATTTAGTCTGAGCCTCTATTACGGTGTTTTTAAATAGTACCCCATATACTTGCAGGCATTTAACCCTTGTGATAGCTCCTTTTAATTTCCATCTAACAAGCATCCTCACTTTTGTGTAGTTCACCTTTTCAAAGTTAAATGTTACCATGGTAGGTTTTGGGGGGCTTTTATCCCCTTTATGAAAAAGTTACATTTAAGTGCATTATGGTCACTATTACTGATTGGTTCAGGCATAGTCACCTCTTGGCCCAGATTCTGGGCTCCAGTTAGGACTTAATCAAGAATTGCTGCCCCCCTTGTGGGTTCCAGGACTAGCTGCTCCAAGAAACAGTCACTCTTGCTGTCTAGAAATTTTATCTCTGCATCATGCCCTGAGGTGACATTTACCCAGTCGATATGGGGATAGTCGAAATCATCCATTATTATTGCGCTTTTTGCTCTTAGTCAGGTAACTTAGATTTCAGGACATAACCGCAGGGAACTTACTTGAGGGATTTCATGGATTCCCAACGTGACAGGCCCTTCATAGTAGATATGTTCTGAAAAACAAATGGATGATGATTGTGCAATGCACAAAGAAAACAAGCAGCTTATAGTATGCCCTATTTTATAGCAGTACTTTGAAACCGTCAGTGACAAGTGCTCTAGGACTTAAAAATCTTTAGGGACACTAGCTCTCTGAGAGAAGTGTACAGGTATGGACCATCTTCCTAGTGTAGGAGAGACTATGCTGATGAATGTCGTAAGCCTCTGAGGTAAGACCTGTGTGAACAGCAGTTTCTGAGAGCCTAAGGTGAAGCAGTCACTGAGTGCTCATGCAGTTAATAAGCACATTCCATCCGGAGATACCTGACTTCTGAGTTTTTACTGAACAGTATACTAGTGTAGTGGAAGTACACATTTCACAAGTGAGTAAACAGATACACAGAGGTTCAGCGACTTGCCAAAGGTATCAGGTTGGTGTCAGTGCCAGGTATAGAAACCCATCTTCCAGTCTCCAGCCCTCTAACCACTAGGCACACTCACTCCCTTTTCACTGCTTATTATTGAGAGCTTCATGAAAGGAGGGTGATTTCAGCACTAGTGGACACTATGCGTGAGCCATTCTGATTGGGCCAGATTTACAGATATACAGGGTCTGCTCACTTCATTGTCCTCTGCAGCTGCATGTCTGAGCCCTATCCTGTAGATGAGCTGTGAAATTTACTGCCACTTCTGCTTTGACAGGGAGGGGGAAGTAATATTTTATCCTTTTGTGTGAATTTTTCTGTCTTCTCTCTGCCTGGATCCTTTCTCCTGTAACTGATCTCTACAGCTCCCTGACTGCTGTCTGAGCCTGGTCTCTCTTACTACTACCTTATACTTCACATTTTTAAAGTATGGCACAAGCAATAACTGATCCTCATGCACAGCTGCAAGATTCCTATATATTATCTCCCACTTTACTAAAAGAGGAAATTAAGGCAGAGAGAGCAAGTGACTTGCCTAAGGGGCCCAAAATGTTGACATCAACACTAGGATTAGAATTCAGGATATTTTGGCTGCTGACCCTAAATCCAATTCACTAGACTACAGCTGGCTCATGGCCTGGACTCTCCAGCTGCTTCACCTGTGCCATGGGAAGCGTTTTCCTTTTCAAAGAGCTGTTGCCATGGTTGCTCACTTCTGTGCATGAAGCAGGAGCCATAGAGTCTGAGGCTTCTCTCCTGCATCGAGTAATGACTCAAAATTTTAAAAATACAGCAAAACCCTGTTCTGTTTCATTTTGCTAGACCCTAGAAGGGAGTTATAGGCCTGGATTCTGCAGACATTGAAGCACTTGCACAACTTTACTCAGCTGGGCAGTGATTACGCTGGGACTCGGTGTGAATAAAGTTTGTGCAGGGGTTTAAGCAGTTGCAGAAGCAGAGGTGTAGATGGGAGCTGTCCTATTTGTAAAGTGCTGGTGTGGACAGTGCAATGCAGAAAGCAACCCCTTTCTGTAGAATCTCCTGCAGTGGGCCGTGTTTGAGAAGGAAAATGCAGCAAGTAGGACAGGCAGCTCGGAACCAGGATCAAACTGCCCAACAAGTCCTGGATAGCAGCAGAGGACAAAAGTGGAGGAAGTATGGGCTCTGAAACCTTCCCTACCAGTTGGAGATAGAGACTCTTCACAAATCACATGAGTCAATGGAGTCAGCCCTGGAGTATTTCAGAACTGGCAAGGGATTGAAAGTGAAATGGCGGTGTCCTAGCTTTGCAAAACCTATGTTTGAAACTGAATTAGACAAAATCAGACAACACACATGCTTCTGAATGTGTGTGGCTGCTAGTATCTCCCTGGTGAAGGTAGATGCTAATTTTTCTATTACACCATAAAGCAAACTTTGACCATCCTGCCAGGGCTAGATTAAGGCAATCCTGGGCTGTAGATGTACTTCCCTCATTAGGAGACCCTGAGGTCCTGCCCATGTGTTATGGCCACACCCTTGCTTGAGGTGATAGCAGCAGGAGCTATTCTTAGGACTACTGTGTGCTGAGCAGAAACCACCACTACCAGTATTATTCTTTGGGGTGTCTGGTGGAGCTGATCTGGAATTTAGTAGGGGGCTAGGAGCTGTGCACCCCCGAGTTCTATTCCTTTGCGACCTGGATGAATATCAGCTCTATTACACAGATGGGGAAATGGACTCTTCTCCCCTGCACCAGTAAGTGGGCCTCTACTGCGGGGGAAGAGAGCAGCTTTATTCTTCAGCTACTGGAGGCTCCCAGGAGATGTTCTGAATCAATAGGTCTACTGGGTTTTACGACCAAACCTCTAGCTGACCAGGACCTCCCACTTTCATGGCTGTTGTTTAAACCAGGCCCCTGAAACCACTGTGATTGCCTCTCCGTGGACTTTACAGAGCTGGGGCTACAGCAGAAAACAGTGTCTCCCGAGGCTGAATCCAACTGAATGCATGTTTTGCTTTTGGGATTCCAGTTTAACATAGTATTCTTGATACAGTGCATCTTCCTAAACCCTTGCATTTACCTATCAGTGGGGGGCAAATGAGATGAATTAGTTGCAGTAATTATAACTAAGACAAACACTTAGCTTTGTGCATTGAATGCAAAGTATTGCCTCTTTGGAACTTTCCTGTCTGAGTTCACATAGGTTATATAGTGTGAAAGACTGATATTATTTACGGGATCAATTTATAAATTATGGCAAACTTTCCAGTCAAAAAATTCCTCCATCTTCATATGTACAAGATACTAATAAGTCACAGCATCTGTTAGTGCAAAACAGCCAGTGTTCTTGGGACATTATCTTCCATGCTCAACCCTTCTCTTAAGGGCTAACATGACTGAAGAGGTTTTCTGCAGAACATCATAAAAAGGTCTCTAGGTATTGCTGACTTCAGGCTTTCTTTTCTATTTTGTGGGTTCTTTTCACTCTTACTTCCTAACAAAAGTAATGTATTCCTTCTCCCTGCCATCAACAGGTCTCTAGCAATTTACAGAAGGAAGTGGAGCGAGTAAGAATTTCCTGTAAATTACTTCAAGTTACTTGTTCTTGTGAAGCTGCCTCTCATTTCTGACAAAACACCTATAATGAAATTCTGACTCCTCTTTCTCAACTCTTTCTTAGGTTAAAAATCTTTATACAGTATAACAAGTGTAAGAATGTTCAAAGGCCCCAGTACATCTGCACCCACCTCTTCCTTTTCTGGGCTTTTAACCTTTATAGAATTTTTATTTTTTTTCTGTGTGAGTAATAATACAGTAATACTTAGCTCGTCTAGGGCTGGATCCTACATCCATTCAACTCGATGGCACAACTGCCATGAATTCTGTTGGTTCAGAACTGATCTGAACAGTGCTCATCTATAAATATTGGAGCTGGGTGAGTATCATTCACCTCAGTTTCTCCCAACCGTAAAGTGAGTTGAGAGGATGAGTTTCTTGCTCAAGGTCATGTGGCAGATCAGACCAGAACCCAGCTCTGTGGTTTAGCTTCTTGCTGAGAATACATGTCCATTTCCTCACAATTGCACTCAAAAGAAATACCTAACTTCACATCTAATACTCTGCAAGTGTAACACATTATACACACAAGCCATTACATGTGTATGTTAATTTGTAACTAAGGTCCGAGTGAAGGTTTTTTTGGTTGAGTATGATTGCAAGAAATTGGGTGTGTGCTTTGAGCGTCCTGTGTTGGATCTGAAAAAGTGAGTTTGTGCAGCCGCAAAGTCTGTGAGAGTGTTTGGGCATTAATTGGGTAAGGTCTCTGAGTTGTGCTGGATGTTGATCCTAATGTTACCATAATGTGTGGTTTTTCTGGTTTTTGTGACTGTGTAAATGGGAAGTACACTTGAGCAACCCTAACTCTTATGTAACTATTTTCTTGTGTGGGATATGAACGAAGATCAGAAAAATTCCTCCCTAGAGGGAGGAAGCTCATCTCTAAACTTAATACCACAAAGACTTTAGCAACGATTTTTTTCACTACTAAAATTCACTTTTTTGCCTTCTGCGGAACAGAAGAGAGTGTAATGGGTTTAGATCTCAAAGAAACAGACATAAGTTGTTCAGAATCATGTTTGAGAGACCTCGTCAGCTTTGCTAGTCCGGTTATGACCATTATACAATTTGTTTAAATAAAAGTAAAAAGATAGGTAACAAATACTATAATTGAAACGAAGATGTTGGTAAAACATCCATCTATGTTTGTTCTGACAAGACCGTTCCAATCATGAGTCACTGATATAGAAGTAAAAGATAACAGAGGAAGGAAAATGTTCTCTATTTGCCACCTTTGACGCCTCCTCAATTCCTTTCCACTACACCCTCCTCTCTCTCAGCACCAGATATTCCTGGTGCTCTCAAAAAAGAGCCACAAGATCTATAAACAGAACAAACTCTAAAGCCTGTGGCTTTTTTAGGAGGGCGGTAGGAGAAAGCTTTACAGTCTTTGTTCTCACTAAAGTGGCCAATCAAAACCAGCTAGCAACTATATTTAAACCGAGGTCAAATAAAATTTGCTTTACAAATGTTACTCAATGTGCAATGAAGATGGGGCTCTAATTGACAAAATTCAGCTCTAAAAAGAGCACTCTGCCATCTTCACACTTCCTTTACCTCATATTTGACAGCTCAAATTATGGCCCTCTCTACACATGGCAATGGTCAAGTTTAACAAAAATGCAAACAGCTGGGCTACGTCTACACTAGAGACCTTGCAGTGGTACGGCTGTACCACTGCGCCGCTGTAAGGTCTTCTGTGTAGCTGCTCTATGCCAGTGGGAGAGCGCTTTCCTGTTAACATAATTAAATCACCGTCAACGAGCAGTGGTAGATATGTTGGCAAGAGAGCATCTCCCGCTGACATGGCGCTGTCCACACCGGTGCTTTTGTTGGTGTAATTTATGTCACTCAGAGGGTTGTTTTCTCACACTCCTGAGTGACATAAGTTATACTGACAAAAGTGCTAGTGTAGATACAGCCTTCAAATGTGGCTGTGCTGAGCTGCTCTATGTGGGGCTGGAGATCAAACTGCATTACAATACAATGTAAAAACATACACTGACTATCCATTTTGGAGCCCCATCATCTAGCAAACTTAACCGCTTCCCTCTGTGGATTGCATGGGAACAACATGGCTTCTATTAACAACTGTGTGATAAGGTTCTGTTATTAATTGAGGGCAGCTTCTAAATGAAGATACATGGCATTATTTAAACAATCAAGTGTTGTTTTATATCCTGATGTACTTCAATTAGTGAAAACAATCTCCCTGCCAGGTTAAGATTAAGGACCTGCTGCGAACCCCAGAAGGGTTTGGCTATGTGGCTTAATGTGTAAACAGCAGCTTGTGCTGGGCTCAGGATCGACTCTAGGTTTCCTTAATGTGTTTTCTACAGGGTGTTATTGAGCACTTCGTCAGAATAAGACAGTCTTCCAGTAGGGCTGTGGGTATCTTATTTTTTCTTTAATTCAATACACTATTGAGAAAGCTTCTGAATTTAATTTTTCTGTCTGTCTGGCTTGCAGAATTTACATAATTGGTTGCTTGTGCAGTATTTCTCTGCTATTCTTTTTGATATCTCTGTACTGTGTGAAATGTCTTAGCAATTCCCCTGAGGCCATCTTGTCAACTGTACAGTGCATGGTCACCAAACCCACAGCCCTACAGGAAAATGAATTATCATAGTGCTGATGGAGATGCAGGTGACTGGGGAAAAATAGCTTTCAAAGCTAACTTACTAAACTGCCATTCTCTTAACTCCCTGGGAAATTGCCCTCCACCCACCTTTCTTTTCAAATCAGCCCAAAGAGATGAGCATGGAATCAGGAAGAGTAAGGATTTATTATTATCAGAGATCCTTAAATAAAACCAAACACCTTAGATAGTACCAAAATGTATCATGGTCCAAATGCTGCAGTCTTTAATCCTTACTCATGCGCAGCTTCTATGAAAGGATTCTGGATCAGTGAACAGGAAACACAACTTTTTAGATAGGAGACATTTCTCAAGTAATCTTGTTCTTTAGCTCAGCCCTTTCTTTTACAAAAATAGGAGACAATCCTGCAATAGTCCTCAGACATGCAAACAGTCTTGTTGAAATAAGACTGCTACTGAACATAAGGGGTGTAGGCCCATGCTACTTATTTACATTATATGTTGAGTTATAGATTATCCTTCTAAATTTCCCTTGAGCTCTGATGTATATAGCACTCAGACCTCTGTGCCATTAAAACACAAGCTAGTGAGCCCGTTATGCAAAAAGAAGACTTTAAAAGTAAAATGACGCTCCTCTACTGTGTTGCTGTCATCCACTAACATTCTGTTGAAGTCCACAGAATGTTAGGAAGTAGCGGTACATTCAGCCGTACAGCAGGTGTGTCCCGCTTGCAGTGTTCAGCACCCATCAAGTGTTTAGTGTGCTAGGTAAAATTACCTCCTTTTCTCTTTCCACAGAAAATAAACCTGCGGTCATTCGGCTCACAAAGTTTCTGTGAGTAGGCTAGGATACTCTTCCCATTTATGATGAGATTAACGTTCAGAGACAGTTCCTTGATGTTGTGTCCTACGCAGAAAACAGAAGAAGAGTTCAGGGAGAGAACTGTTTGGAAATTGAGCTATTATTATTTACTTTATAATTAATGTATTAATTAAATGAATTAAATAATTAGTTTATTATTTGTTTTAAAAAGATCCTATTCTTTTCTTATTTAGGCCCCAACTCCACTGAGGGTTCCTGAATCCATAGAACACTATGCAATACAGAAACTGCCCTGTAATGTCCCTGGTGGTTGATAACAAGACATGTACTGAATGAAGAGTAGCTTCCTTTTGAGGCTACTGGATTCAAACCTTGCAGTCGGGGGTTGTGAACAAGCATGTGCAATGATTGTAATATAACCCTCAAATTTGTCTCGCTTGTGATCCCCGAAAACAGACCTGCCCCCAGAAGTCTTAGTGCTGCACACCAGTGAGCCACAGCAGCTCAAGTGTTATTTCACAGTGTGGTCGCTCTCACTCTCTATCTAGGCTAACTCCGGAGGAGTGAAGACAATACCCAAAGGACAACCCCCTGCCCAAACAAGTTTACAAGTGAACAGGCTGACAGAGGGAGGGAGGGAGGGGAAACAAAGGCACGGGGATGGGGGTGGGGGCAGAGTGAAGTGACTTGCTCAAGGTCACGCAGCAGGTCAGAGACACAGCTGAGAAGAGAATCTATGCCTCCTGAGGCCCAATCTGTGTCTGAGCCCCTGGACCCTCGCATGAGAGCAATAAACCCTCTCATGTTTTATCAAAAGCACTTGATTATTATTCATCAGACCCTCTTTAACACCGACACATGCCCAGTGAAGTATCTTATTTGTAACACTCAAAAACAGCACTTTACTTACTTAAGATCATTGCAGCTCTGATGTCAAAAGTATTCGTTAAGATTTTGGAACAACCATCGATGCTAAGAGCAAAATCTTGCACGGGATCTGTCAAAAGGTAACAGGCAATTGATTTTTACTTTTATTTCCAGTGCATGGGAACTCTACTTCATAAAAAATAATGATAAAAGAATAGAATCCTTATGAAAATCAAGTCATACATATTTTCTTTGAAATTCTCCCAAACATAATCCCCAAACTCCGACATCGTGTGGCAAAAGGATTAGACTGCTCTGTGCCTGTTTCATTGACATCACACTAATCTCAACTACGTTTGCTTTCAGCTGGAATCCTTTCCCCCCCCACCTTCCTCTTTTCTAGCCATTAGGACCTGGCCAGTCCTTAAATTATTTAATACTTTAAGGCTTTGTCAGCATATCCATTTCTGATGCTGGGTGTCGACAACAATTGCAGCTGAGCCAGTGCTGAACCTGGTTTAACTGCAAGCGTAGATCACCGGTTCCCAAACTGTGAGTCAGGACCCCAAAGTGGGTCGTGACTTCTTTTTAATGAGATCACCATTAGACTGGCATTAGACTTGCTGGGGCCAAACCTACACCACCCGGGGCGGAAGCCCTAGGGCTTCAGCCTTGGTGGCAGGGCTCAGGTTACAGGCCCTGTGCCTGGGGCTGAATCCCTTTGGCTTTGGCCCCCCACACCCAGGGCAGTGGGACTCGGGCAGGTTCAGGCTTCGGTCCCCCCTCCTGGGGTTGTATCGTAATTTTTGTTGTCAGAAGGGGGTCACAGTGCAATGAAGTTTGAGAACCCCTGGCACAGACCAAAACAAACCTGTTCAGAACATTTTAGAAACCATGGTTGACTTCAGGGGAAGTTGTCTGGTGAATGAAAATCAGGTCACTTAGTGCCTAGCTAAGAACATAGGAGCCTAACTTTAGGCTCCTATTTTTTGAAAATCTTAGCCCGGGCTTTGCATGTGACATTTTATTGATCTGGAAATGGTGGGATAGGGACAGTTTCACATCTTTGCAATTCTAGCGGGGAGCCATTTCGGGGGGCAAAGTGGGGCGGGAGCGCCTCCTGAGTTTCATACAGGAGGTGTGCGAGCTCCCAGGTGAAGCTACAGCAAAGCATTGGTGTGAAATGTAAGTTCTGCAGAGGAAATGTGCCCCTGGGGCAGGGAGTCAGTATTTTGTTTACAAACAGAGGGAGGGCGATTAAGACAAGAAAGGGCTGGTGATTAAGTTAAGGATCTGGAAGTCTACATGCATCCATCGAAGTGGTATCCACCCACGAAAGCTTATGCTCCAATACGTCTGTTAGTCTATAAGGTGCCACAGGACTCTCTGCTCCTGTAAAACAGGAATCCCTGGGGAAGTGGGTGGGTGGGAGGGAGGAGGTTGTTTTAGAGATAACACAGGGGACTCAGAAATAATACAGCCAAGCCCTCTGGGCCAAGGTTACATTCAGAAAAGGTGGAGATTTGGGGACATACATGAAACGAAGGGGCCAAAACCCAGGGAAGGGCTAGCATTGGTATAGAGAAGTTCCCACTCTCCTGTGGTACTTGTGTGGCCCCATCACCATAGTATCTGAGCGCCTCACGAGGTCTAACCTATTTCTCCTCAGCCCCTTGGTGAGGTAGAGCAGGGGCACTGAGGCACACTCATTCTAAAGGCCAGATTTTCAAAGGTATTTAGGCACCTAGTGGGATTTTCAAAAGTGCCTAGAAGGTTAGGTACTTTGTAAACCCCACTAGATGCCTAGCTGCATCTTTGGGTGCCTAAAAGGTTTTGAAACTCTGTCCTTAACACACTGGCCTGAGATCATGCAGGAAGTCCATGGGGGGGGGGGGGGGTAGAACCCAGGTCTTTCAGGGCTAACTCCTTATCCAACAGACCAGCCTATCTCTCTGCTGCATGCTACAAAAAAAAGAGGACTCTGATAGATGGGAGCCAAACCAAGGCGGCCAGTTCTCTGAGACTCCAGGAAATGGTCCCAGGAGGTTAGGATGGATGCCATGGTTGACAGCATGAAAAGCAGCACAGAGGTCAGGAAGGATGGAGAATGAGAGTCAGAAGAGAGGAGATCGCTTAACTCCCAAGAGGTGGCAATGCCTGCTGTGCATTTTAACTGAAAACCATTTTGTTTTGTCATTTTTTTGTTCTAAGTTCGAGAAAAGGAAGGAATCAGAAAGTGTCATAAAAGCATCAGATGTGTTTATGCCTCAAATTCTTAGGGTTTCAGCTGTATCCAGGCCAATTCCAGAACAAAGAATAAAAATTGCATCCGCAGAGTCCATAAAGTTGACGATTATTATCATGATTTGTATTATTCACTGGGCACCATCTGTGTGCTTAGCACTGTTCAGAATATACCAGAAAATGTAGTCCCTGAGCCAATGTGTAGCCCTGGATAAGATGGCTGAGATATTTAAGTATGAAATACATAGTTATTAAGCACATGTTAATATCTAGGAGGAGAGGCACTGATGGCAATAGAAGTTTTACTGGATTAAGGAGTAGAAGAATTGACCCTCCAACTTTCTCTCAAGAGGAAGAGCTGCCCAGAGCTCCTGTGCCTGTTTATTTTCCTTTCCTGCCTGCAGTGGCCCTGATATACCGTAGAAGTCTCAATGTTTTTCTCAACTTTAAAATATGGAATTTTCTTGTTGCTTGGTTTTAAATATTCTCTTGTGAGAACTGCAACTCAATCACTGTAATGTTGTGTTTAAGAGCCTTTTGGAAAGTAACTAGCCTTTAAATAGAAGTTAAAGCAGTATTGCCAACTCTCATAATTTTATCATGAGTCTCATGATAATTGTTTTCCTTAAAGCCCCAGCTCCTGGAGTCAAGTGGATATGTGATGATTTCAGAACACAAGAATGGCCCTACTGGGTCAGACCAAAGATCCATCTAGTCCAGTATCCTGTCTTCTGACAGTGGCTAATGCCAGGTGCCCCAGAGGGAATGAACAGAACAGGTAATCATCAAGTGATACATCCCCTGTCGCCCATTCCCAGCTTCTGGCAAACAGAGGCTATGGACACCATCCCTGTCCATCCTGGCAAATAGCCATTGGTGGACCTATCCTCCATGAACTTATCTAGTTCTTTTTTGAACCCTGTTATACTCTTGGCTTTAACAACATCCTCTGGCAAGGAGTTCCACAGGTTGAGTGTGCGTTGTGTGAAGAAATACTTCCTTTTGTTTTTTTTAAACCTGCTGCCTATTAATTTCATTTGGTGACCCCTAGTTCTTGTGTTATGAGAAGGAGTAAGTAACACTTCCTGATTTGCTTTCTCCACCCTAGTCATGATTTTGTAGACCTCTATCATATCCCCTCTTAGTCATTTCTTTTCCAAGCTGAAAAATCCCAATTTTATTAATCTCTCCTCATATGGCAGCTGTTCCATACGTCTAACCATTTTTGGTTAGACAAAACAGCCCTTTTCTGAACTTTTTCCAATTCCAATATATCTTTTTTGAGATGGGCGACCACATCTGCATGTAGTATTCAAGATGTGGGCGTACCCTGGAGTTATATAGAGGCAATGTGATATTTTCTGTCTTATTATCTATCCCTTTTTCCTAATGATTCCCAAAATTCTGTTGGCTTTTTTGACTGCTGCTACACATTGAGTGAATGTTTTCAGAGAACTATCCGCAGTGACTCCAACAACTCTCTTTGAAATCTCTCTTGAGTGGTAACAGCTAATTTAGACCTCATCATTTTATATGTATAGTTGGGATTATGTTTTCCAATGTGCATTACTTTGCATTTATCAACATTGAATTTCATCTGCCATTTTGTTGCCTAGACACCCAGTTTTGAGAGATCCTTTTGAGCTCTTTGCAGTCTGCCTGGGACTTAACTATCTTGAGCAATTTTATATCATCTGCAAATTTTGCCACCTCACTGTTTACCCCTTTTTCCAGATCTTTATGAATATATTGAATAGGCTTTGGCCCAGTAAGACCCCTGGGGGATGCCACTATTTACCTCTCTCCATTCTGAAATCTGACCATTTATTCCTACCCTTCATTTCCTATCTTTTAACTAGTTACCAATCCATGAGAGGACCTTCCCTTTTATCCCATGACAGCTTACTTTGCTTAAGAGCCTTTGGTGAGGGACCTTGTGTAAGGCTTTCTGAAAATCTAAGTACACTATATCCATTGGATCACCCTTGTCCACATGATTGTTTACCCCCTCAAAGAATTCTAGTAGATTGGTGAGGCATGATTTCCCTTTACAAAAACCATGTTGACTCTTCCCCAACAAATTATGTTCATCTATGTGTCTGACAATTTTGTTCTTTAGTAAGTCATAACCGGTTTGCCCAGTACTGAAGTCAGGCTTCCTAATTATATTTTTACACTTCATTTGCCAGAGTTTATGCTCCTTTCTATTTTCCTCACTGGGATTTAACTTCCACTTTTTAAAGGATGACTGTTTTGCCTCTCACAGCTTCTTTGCCTCTGTTGTTTAGCCATGGTGGCACTTTTTTGGTTCTCTTACTATGTTTTTTAATTTGGGGTATACATTTAAGTTGAGCCTCTATTATGGTGTCTTTAAAAAGTTTCCATGCAGCTTGCAGGGATTTCACTTTTGGTGCTGTACCTTTTAATTTCTGTTTAACTAACCTCCTCATTTTTGTGTAGTTCCCCTTTCTGAAATTATAGCTTATTACCAGCAGGAGAGTAGGGTGGTGGGGGGGGAGAGAAAACCTTTTGTAGTGATAAACACCCATTTTTTTCATGGTTTGTGTGTATAAAAACAAACGTCTTCTGTATTTTCCACGGTATGCATCCGATGAAGTAAGCTGTAGCTCACGAAAGCTTACGCTCAAATAAACTGGTTAGTCTCTAAGGTGCCACAAGTACTCCTTTTCTTTTTGCGAATACAGACTAACACGGCTGTTACTCTGAAACTTTTCAATTGTTGTAATCAAGAGTTAGAAACAAAGTAAGAATATACATTAAAATTTTAAACCTAACCAGTGTCCCTTAAGTGACTTGACATAAGATGTGAGAACATGTTAGTATTAGAGCTAAGTGGGTCTAATATTTAATTCTTTTTTTTTATAT